GTGTGTGTGTGTGTGTGAAGGAGAGACAGAATGCAGAGAAACTCTGTAATCTCATGTTTGCCTTCACACCAGGCGTCAGGAGCCACCCATAAAACCTTCTTACCCTTGCAACTAAACAAAAAGCCAAACATCCATAAAGGCAACATTGTTTATTACCCTTTAGTATTGATTGAGAGGGTCTAAAAAAACACAGCAGCCCGTTGCCAGGTCACATAAAAGTGCAGACCCAATGGGTGAAGCGACGTAAATCCTTTAGTCTCTTGTAAATAGCTTTAATACACCCAAGGCGCCAAATCACTTGACCTGCGTTAGCCCTGCCGTTTCCAGGCTTTCTGGCTGAGTGAGCAGTGTGGAGCCAGCTCCTCTCCTCCCTTTCTCTGCCTGTCAGTCCAGGTAAGAGTCAAGGCCTGATTAGTGACACACAGATACACAACATGACTGCAAACTCTCCATAAAACCCTCTGCAGGTAAACAGCCCTAGAGAGACAACAAGACGTTATCTTTGATATAAGCCGCATCATCAATTTTCTCATTTGTACAAAAGAAAATTTATGTTACCTGATATTACACCACGAGTTGTCGCACCATTTCCATTGATTGTGTATGTAACGTTACCTACAGTCTCTCACAATCCATTTGATAATTGTCAGTCAGCTCATAGACTGTGATTCACCGTGGCTGCTCTGATGCTAACTGGACGTCTGACCTGAAGTTGAAGCCCCCACACATGCTGCAAGTTCAGGTGGCATTTTAAGCTGTAGGTGCTGTGGTGAAACTAAAACTCTTTTGGTCAATGTTGGTAAATGATCGCATTTGTATTGACTGTCTATTAAAGCAACGATGAGTGATGAGGAATGTTGGTAGAAAACACTGACATTATCTGTTAACCACTCAGGTGACCTTAGAGCTTCAATGGGAGATCAAGGTCTCAGGAGGTCAGACTTATATTTTAAGGTTTGCTGGACAGATGAAGATGTGAATCTGAATTGGACTTGCAGTCAAAGTAGAGAAGAAGTGTGATACGGAACCTCTGGTTGGACTTGGGTTAGGTCTAAACGGTTATAATTCTGGTTATAAATAGAATTCAAATGAATACTTTTCCACACTTTAAGGTCAAACCACTTGGTGTTTGTGTTATTGGCAATATAACCTTGGAAAGATAGTAATTTAGTGGGACTAGAAACCATCTCTGGAAACATTCACATCACGTCAGTGACTAATGCATTTACCGAGAATTGTGAAATGGTTTAAGGTGTGATTTCAATGAGGTATGCACTATTTACACATGGCATACCCACAGTACACAGGAGTGTCCACAGTACAGTACAGAGCGAGTTGTTGCAGTAGCTTTGAGCAGAATATTTGGCGTGATATTTTAAGTAGGTGAGCTCCAAAATGAAAACAGTCTCTTCACTTGGAGGTTTTTTTTTTTTT